GTGATCTTTTATTATTCAGAGAATGAATACTTCCGAAGATCACAGTGCAGTGGACTGAACCCAGTGATGTTTGCCAACCTCTACTGAAATGTCAATGTCATAATGTTTGAAAACTTTTATTCTTTTCAGTGTTACTCTTAAAGACATTCACTCAAAGTTGAGGAAAGTTCAACTTTATGCAAATGAGCAATAGTGTGACGAGGTGACTAGCAATGGGACTGAAGACACTGCAGTACATGTGATCTGTCTCCTTTTGAGTATAGAAAAACAGAGGATAAGTTATGTTATTATGAGCAATTTCAATGTTTTACATGATTTACAATGTTTCCACATGCAGGAATTAAGGCTGTCAAATGATTAATCGTGATTAATCACATCCAAAAAAAAAGTTTTTTTTACATAATATATGTGGGTGCACTGTGTATAATTATTTTATATATATAAATACACACACATGCTTGTATATATTTAAGAAATATTTTCATGTATATACTGTATATAGATTTATATATAATTTATATTATATATAAATATTTTATATATAAATAATATATTTTTTTTAAATATACATGCATGTGTGTGTATTTATATATATACAAAATAATTATACACAGTGCACCCACATATATTATGTAAAAAAAACTTTTTTTTTGGATGTGATTAATCGTGATTAATCATTTGACAGCCCTAGCAGGAATACAATAAAAAATTACATATGAAAAACCATGTCAGAATTATCGTTGTTTCAAATTAGTTCTTTATATTCATGATATGATGGAATCTGCCTGCCTCTATGGGAATTTAACATAGAGGTGTCCTGACATTTATTTATTTACGATACATTATTCATCCACAAAGAAAATTGGTGTCCTTAAAGGTTGGATTTTTCCTCATTTTTTTGTTAAATTAAGGCATTAAGATCAATTTCCAAAAGATGATTTTTTATTCCTCTTTTTAGTCAACTTTAGCATGGGTGTGTTCACTTATGCTAAGCACTGTAATATTAATAATATATTATTAATATAATAATATAAAAGTCTGAGGTCAGTAAGATTTTTTCATGTTTTTGAAAGAAGTCTTTATTTGATTCAAAAAACTGTAAAAACAGTAATATTGTGAAATATTATTACTATAACTCTTACACCATTTCTTATTGCTATCAATGTTGAAAACAGTTGTGCTAATTAACAAAAAAAATAATTAAGAGTATGCAATATATATGAATGGGTCATTACCAGAGCTAAGGATATCAACATGGTGGTAGCTGATATCACCATAAAAGTCATATTGAAATATTTAAAATGAACACATCATCAGTTGCTACGCTTACATGCATTTTAATAATCCGTTTGTAATCCGACTGAGAGTTCATAGGGAATGAAAAGCCTTAATGTAAACACCTCATTAGGGAATAATCCGATACCGATTAAGTTTGAAAGAGGTGGTGCAGATCTGTCAGCAAATGATCTAGGGAAAAACACTTTTTCAACCTACAATAATCAAGCAACTTAATTTTTTTAAGATATTTGATATAAATATAAGTAGGATGTTAGGTAGTTACATTCAAAATCTACGTGAACCCACTTAATTTTAGGGGCCAGTTCAAACAGACCGCAACTGGAACTGCTATCCATCACAGCGCTGAGGCTTCTGTCCACAATGAACTGCTGTCCTCCTCATAGCATGATCGATGATTTATGTAAGAAGTGTTGAAACGTGGAGGAAACCCTTGCCAAAATCATCTCATAAACAATTTAGCATTGATTTTTATTAGGGCTGTCAAATGATTAATCGCGATTAATCGCATCCAAAATAAAAGTTTGTGTTTACATAATATATGTGGGTGCACTGTGTATAATTATTTTATATATATAAATAAACACACATGCTTGTATATATTTAAGAAATATTTTCATGTATATACTGTATATAGACTTATATATAATTTTTATTATATATAAATATAAATATTTTATATATAAATAATTTTTTTTTCTTAAATATACATGTATGTGTGTGTCTTTATATATATACAAAATAATTATACACAGTGCACCCACATATATTATGTAAACACAAAATTTTATTTTGGATGCGATTAATCGCGATTAATCATTTGACAGCCCTAATTTTTATCCAAATCACAATCTCAGCTAATGATTGAATCTACTCACGACATGCATGCACGTGGTCCATGATGAACAAACACCAAAAATAGCTGCTTCATTGCTATCGTTCAGCTGGCAGTGTTCAGGACACAGGGCTATCAGAGTGAAGGGGCGAACGTCCCTCCCGGAGAGTTTGCGTCACAGCTGGCTGCATCGATAACAGCAGCCAAAAATAGCCCCAGCGTGATAGACGGCACAGGCTATTTTTGTTGGGGTCGAGAGAAACTATTAAACGCCTGACCCAGAGATGCATCACAGTCATTGACTGCTGGATGGTTTCTGTCCCCTTTCTGCAGGCTGATGTTTAATCCATTTGGGCATATTTGAAGTACAAACACACTTAAGCTAATTGGTGTGCTAAGAAAGACAGATGGGAAGAGTTGTTTTTATCCCTCAGTGAAAGTCCACATTTTTGTCACAGATGCATTTGAGCTGAAATTAAAATTGGGAGTGATTACTGATGAAAACCAATTAGCCTTTTTTAAAAATGGAAGATGAAAGTTTTCCACTTTCGCTAAAAGAAAAATGCGTCTTTTGTACAATTTTGTCTTTATATGAAGGTTGCTGTCAATAACTCAACCATATCCATAACAAGCTTTACCAAAATGGTATTGACAAATTGGATTTAGACGTATGGACACAAGAAGTATAGGACATCCAGATGAAGGCTGGGCAAAATTTCTGCACACTAATCAACAGACTTTCTGTTTTTTACCATCACAACCTACACAACTAACCTCACTGACCAATGAAAGTATCAGCATAAAAGTAGCAGATTCACATCAGGATAATATCAGGCACATTAATCTTCTGTCACTGCCATTGTTGACAAAAAAAATGCATAGGATATAGACTCAGAATTGTCTAAGTTTACTCATTGGGACCTGAATTACATCTCCACAAGCCCTGATTTAGGTTCTCTCTGGGAACTTTGGATTCTTTCTTTCCCTGAGGAAACACTCAGATCCATCCATTCATTAATTATCTCAATGGGGCCATAAGCCTCACTGCTTCTGCTGTGCTATTGCATAAGTCCAGGACTGGTAGATTCTGCTGTGTCAGCAGATGTTTACTGAGGGTGTTTTTTCATTGTACCTGCTGATCTATCTAACTGCTTGAGTCAGACCCCTGCAACACTAACTAGTTCTTCTGACAGCCCAGCATATGTTGTGTTTTGGATGCTGGTCTTTTGATCCACATAAGTGTTAAGGAATCCAATATTTTGGTCAGTAGATTCAGAAGGGGTGCTGCTGAATAAGAAGTGCAGAGAACTATTTTGTCAGCTTTGGCAGAACATGGCATGAATTTGGCATGTGCGAGAACCATTAACACAACCAAGTCCAGCATACAACACCGGACAAAAAGACTGTCATTTCAATTTGATTTAAAACTACAAGGTCAAAAAAATTATCATCATGCATGAATTAATCGTTCACAATAAGGTCAATGTCATGAGTTTAGAAAATAGGGTGAATTTTCATTTTACTGTCAACTTTAAAAAAAAATGGAACCAGTTCTGAATAAGAATAAAGCATTATCCTAATATAAAGTGAGGCTGAAACAAGTCAAATTCTAACATGGGACTAATTAACTAAAGCAATATCACTGTCCTCTTTAAAGTAGGTCTAGTACTATTAAAAACAGCTACCATGGGCATGTACTAAAACACAATAATGATCCCATCAGGACAAGCAATTTCCAGAAGTATTCGCATAGTAGCTGTACTATACTGTGACAGATATGTGATTCATTTCAGCAATTTTGGAAACGGATTGCATTTTGCTACAATGCCAACCTGTGACAATCCAGCATCCATCCATATATAGGATAAACAGGCCTAATTGTACAAATGAACTAGAAAACAGCAAGAAGCTATTTACAGTGGTCTGACAGCACCATGAATAATGGTGTGTCCATTATTCCCAACAAAATGTGATGCTTTCGGAAAATCGCGCATTTGCACAGAAAGATCAATGCTAATCAATATGACTCATTGTTTGCAATAATTCTGTACATAAACAACAGGAACAAACTGGTCTAGTCAGAGTGACAAGACCAATAAATCTGCCTCTGAATTTAGCACATTAGCACCTCACAACAACAACAACACCACACACACACACACACACACACACTTCAATCAGGCTATATTCTCCATCAGTGAAAACAAACATATTCCCATCTATGTAACAACCCTTTCATTGGACGCTTACTTTTAACTCTGCTGGGAATACTAAACAACAATCTACAGGCACCAATAAGCCATGGATCAGAAAGCAGCCACACAGAGGTTTATTTTAAAAATGAATAGCATTACTCCCCACACAGATGCAAACACTGAAACTGATCTTAGAGCAGTGGTTCTCATACTCCAAGGGCCCCCATTGTTCACTTCAATATTCAAATGCTTCTTCCAGGTGTTTCCATGATTCTTCCAGGTGTTTATAATTTTTTCTGATTAAGAATTAAGGACACTTTTTTTAAATCTAAAATCTAAAATATGTTTGTACTTGGCAAAAATGTATGCTCATAATTAAAAAAATTATTAATGCATGACTTTTCCAGGTTTAGAATAACTGTTTTATAATTAGGCTACCTCATTCAGTATATCCAGGTTTTTTTAGATTGTGGGTTCTTGGTTCTTCAAGGGAAATGTTTTTTTTTGTGGAGGTGAATTAAAATAAGAAATGCCTTGCGTTTTAGTTGTTGTAGTTTACTTAAATTTAAATTTATTTTAAGTCATCTTGAGGCCCCCATGGAAGTTTGCTGAGGTCCCATGGTTGAGAACCACTGTCCTCACCAGCAGTCACATCTTCATGCAAGAGATCTCACCTGCAAATAATGACAAGGCCTCATGGAGGACTTCAGATCTTGAGGCATGGTCGGTTTCTCTAAGTTGAGGGAAGATTTGCGGTAGGCTTCCTTAGCCTGGCTGACGGTTAGCGTCGACCAAGAGCTGCGCTTCATAAATTTGCCCTCCGGGGCCATAGCGATGCTCTCGCATGCCGAACATTTTACGTCGTTGTTGCTTTTGGAGGTCTTGAGAGAAAGGTCGCCAAAGTGCCCATGGTCTGGGTAACAGTGAGTAATATGATCTCCATGGTGCCGACTCATGATGCTGGGAGTCCGGTAGGTGCTGTCGCTGTCCAAGTTGTCGTCAGAACTCCACCAGCCAGCTATCCCTGAGCGTTGCTTGGAGTCTGACTTGCGTTCCTTGCTCTTACTCCGTTTGCTGTGTTTGTGATTTCCATGGTGATGTCCGTGATGGTGGTGGTGGTGATGTCCGCTGTCTGAGCGAGAGTCTCCCTTGGTGCCATTCATCTTAGACGACCCCTCGAGTGAGTGGGATTTGGTGAAGAGCTTCTGGACGGAGTGCACCAGGTGGCGGATGCGCCCAGGACTCTCGTTGCGCTGCTCGCTGCTCGTGGTGGTGGCGGACGTGCGCTGGTACTGCAGCGTGTGGAAACCGTCTCTATGAATCGGCAGCTGCTTCTCAAATTGGTCGAGGAGGTTCGCGGGAATACGGTTCATCTTCCCGGACCCGCCGCCCCCACCGCCAACACTGATACCGACCCCTCCACCGCCGTTGCCACCGTGAGAAGTGGAGCCGTCATCCCGCGAGCCGTCGTGGTGTGAACTGTAGTGCATTCTGGGAAAGGTGCTGCTGGAAACGTGGTCAGATGCCATGGAAACGGGCATCACCATGCACTCTGAGTGGATGGAGCTGCGGGGCGAGCAGCGGTGCGGGTCCAGAGGGAAGCTCTCGGTCGGACTGAGCAGGTAGGGAGAGCGAGGGTCAGGGCCGACATGCTGCAAGTGATCAAGGGACTGATCGCAGTCTGGCAGCCCACAGGTGTGTCCTGATGTGAAGGTGAGCTGAGGACGGCCACTTGATAAACCTTTCATATTCCTGGGAGGGGAGGGGTAGCTGTCTTCATCGAAGTACGACGGTGGAGACCATGAATCTAGCTGATCTATGAAAGACAAAGAGAGGAAAAGATAAGAGAGAGTGAGTGAGTGTGGCATTCAGCATCAGTTTAGAACTTGTTCAATCTTTCTGCAAACTAAATTCTGGGACGTTTCCCCATGGGCATGTAGGAAGCACTAATAGATGTTTGCAAAACAGTGTGGTGGGATTCAAACAAGCTGATTACTAATTCACTGAGTTTTCCTGAATTCCAGAGATCCTCTTGAACCTCTGTACAGTCATGGAAAACCCAACACTTGAATGAATGGAAGGAAATCAAGTTGTCTGGACAAAAGCACATCCCATAGCCCTCCGCCGATCCTCCCCATCTGGTCCTGCCAGGCCTTACAAGGACAGAGTTGCAAGCCTTGCCATTTATCCAATGCAAAGTAAAATAATAGCCTATCATTTCAGAACCGCTGGGCCATCCGTCAAAGCCGGCTCCGGAGAGAGAGGGAGCACTTTGAGGTGCTTCAGCGGTTGTCCTTGAGAGACATTGCTCAGAGATTAAAACCACATTCACTGTGATCTTTCATCACAGTCACATATGGGCAGCCTGCCGCTATCTTCATCAGAGCTAAGGCTCAGAGATGCTGTTTTTCACATCCAGCCATTTGCCCTTTCTGACACAACTATTTCATGCTGCTGGATCATATGTCATTTCACAAAGGTGATTAATGGGAATTTTCATGTGGTGAAAATACAGGGTAATGCATATTAAAGTAAAGGTCATTTTTCAATTGATGAAGAAAAAAAATACTGTCACAAACATGTCAGGTTTAATTAGTTTTACTTGTCAAATTCATTCTGTTTGAATCTCTGGGCTATTTTTTAACAATTTTAAAGTTTTATTTTGTATCAGAGTGAAAAAACATAATTTGGCAAATATTCACATTATGTGCAAGTATGCGTATGTAATGTATTTAACCTCCTATTTTATCTACATAGGTATTAAAGCTATTTAAAAAAAAACAAAGCAAGCCAAATTATCAAATTATTGGTAATGTCCTATTAAGTGTTGCAAGCTGGTACAGACCTCTGATGACTTGAATTTGACCACAAGAGTCAAACATGGTAACAGTACCACACAATGCACAGTACATAGTCAGACAGAAGATTATTTCCCTTCATTTTTAGCGTTACATTCATGTGGGTTGTGCCATGGCCAACTGAATATTACTTACTTTATCTCAATAACTTCACTCACACAACATACATTAATCATACTGTAGCTCAGTGTTTCCCAATCCTGCTCCTGAAGGACCCCCAACACTGCACGTTTTCTTTGTCTCCCTAATAAATCACACCTGATTCAACTCATCAGCTCATTATCACATGAGGATATATGTGATAATGAGCTGATGAGCTGAATCAGGTGTGTTTGATTAGGGAGACAAAGAAAACATGCAGTGTTGGGGGTCCTTCAGGAGCAGGATTGGGAAACACTAGCTGATTATAAACTGAATTTCTACAATGGAATCGATAGCTGAAAGATTTCAGGGTCAGTACATGCCCAAGACAGCTGCAATATCGGCCAGTGCAACACAAATTAAAAATTACTGAGTGTTCACTTACTTATCTTGAAACATCCATCGACAAGTAAAGAATACACTACCTTTTAAAAGTTTAAAGAAATAATACTTTTATTCAGCAAGAATGCTTTAAATTGGTCAAAAGTGACGTAAAAGACATTTATAATGATACAAAAAATTATATTCATCATATAATCCTGAGGGAAAAAAACGTATCAACCCCAAACGTTTGAACAATAGTGAAAATCTAACAAACACACAGACTCCAGAAAAGAAGAACGTACGCATATCTGATTCACACTTGGTGTGAATTTGGAAAGCAACCAATTCAGAAATTCTCCCTTGTGTTTAATTAGAGCACAAACAGAGTACTGACCAATAAGGAGATCCTTAGCTCAGGTCAGCACACACCATAATGATGCCCAAGTCCATCTTGATTGAAGAGGACCTGAAGGAGAATGTCAAGTTTGTTTATTCCGAGTGTGTGAAAGAATCAAGATAGCGAATCACAAAGAGGCACTTCATTAAAATGAAACTTTGTGAGAGGCTGAACAACACAGAGAATCGCATTAAAGCACAGCCAGAACAAACAGTCCTATTTGGATCAACATCTGTAAACACCAGCCAATACAGCCGCTTGATTACATTCTTCCAAAGGTTAAAAGCAAAGAACCTTCAAGGAATCAGATTTGTTCATCAGAAAATCGAAGCAATGCGATTGTGTCCTTAACTCCCAGAAGGCTCTGTAATAAACCACACTGTTACATTTCTGAATCTGAGGGGACGGATAAAACTGACAGGATCAGAATGGTTCTGGTCTCATTGGAGATGTAATAGTCTTGCAGCAGTCTGTTGTTGGTTATTTCTCCTTCATCTAAATCCAACACAACTGCAGTGAAATATCTTGAGACAGCAACAGAGAAGCACAGATTGCAGACTGAAATTAACAAAGCACAAAGCCCATGCCAAAGGGAGTGAATCTCTCCAACAACAACAAAAAAAAAAGCCTGCCTTGAACGCCTAATTTGTAGTCCTGCTATTATTTCCATAATGTAGCTACGTCACCATGTAACACATTTTGCATAATACATTACCGCTTATTGACTATTTACTTTAAAAAATAATAATAGTTGAGCTAACTTAAAAAAATAAGGCAACCTATCGCATTCAACTTTTTAAGTTATTTCTAATTTTTAAGTTATTTCTAACAAACTAATTTGTTCCAGTTAAAGTCAACTTTAAAACTTTTGTTCATGAATTGAGTAGCAGGTAGTCTTTTTGATCTTAAAACTTCTTGTCAAGGCGCCTAAAAATGTTTAGGAATGCATGCAGCTATAATCGTTGTTTTTTCATCTCCATGTTTTCCAAGTTAGCTACACAATATGAACATCATTTTCCTCTTAAACTAGAGGAATACATTTTACCCATTTCATCCTGCAGGCAAATAAATAGCAAAGTCGCAATAAGAAGCAAGCACATATAGCCTACCTCAACACACAAATCTCAAACATGGTGATGATCAAAAATTGTAATTCAGTAAAATTATGAATTAACTCTGAACCATATGTCAGCTAAATAAATGTGTAGTTGTAAGGCTGTCGAGGAAATGCTGTTTTTGAAATACATCATTGCATGGACTTCCTAAGAATGTAAGAGAGGTATAAAATCAAAAAAATTATAGGCCTATTGTGAAATGTTCAACACAAGTCGCACATGTGACGGTGGTTTGGATTTGGGCAAAACTTGACATAATAGTTACCGTAGTAGTTACAGTAGTATTTACAGTGCCTCCAGAGATAAAACATTACGGTTATGGAAAAGGGCGTTATATATCCGATATATATATATATATATATATCTCATGCTGCATGTTTGTTGCTTGGAGAGTAAGAACCAGTTCTCGATTTTCAATTGTATAAATGAAACACCAGGGTATTTACCAGGATAACTGTTGAAAACTTTGAAAATATGGCCTGATTCTTGACCATGTCTGATATGGGCCTTCCTGTGGTGGATGGAGAGGGCTCTTGATCTCAGTATGGGTTCAGAGGAGGTCATCAGAGGCTCTAGATGTTTGTGTGAGTGTTATGTCACTGTTTGCCGGTGCTCTACAGCCTCAAGCATTTCCTGTCACCTCATCTCATGATTTCAGTATTCTTACCCTGGACGGTCCCTGCTGAATAAATACGGCTTACTGCAGCATCCTGCATACTAACAGCATGAGTGCAATCAGCCACAGGCGCCTTCGCATCTCTCTCTCTTTCTCTTTCTCTTGTCTCTCTGCAGGGGGCAGCAGGTAGAAGCTTTATTTTGCTGACTCTGTCGCTACAGCAGCACTAGTGAAGACAAATGATCCATCCACCACATTAACACTAGAGAAAGGACCTGATGGATCTGTTAAAAGCGCACAGCCACGACAACAGCCCTGACAAAACAAGTGAGCTCCCTATTGACTACATAGGGACCATTCTTGCCATCAAGGATCCTCATAAGTGAACCCACTAGACTCGCAACTGATTTCAATGGATTTAGATGTTAGCAGCATAAGTAATAACATGAGCATAAAAATACATAAAGTATTGTGTAATATTTTTACTACACTTTTGACAAACTTTTCCAGAATTAAAAAGGAATATAAAAAAAGGTTTATATATAAGATTATGTATATATTTATGTCTACCATCATCTCAGACCTTATTACAATGCATTCTGGGATTACATGCAATGCTGCTTTAGATTTGCCTAAAATGAGGTATCTTAAGAGGCAGAATAATTATGTGTAAGAAACCATATGAATGCAGGAGATATCTCTCTTTTGTCACTCCAACATGCTTCATTAAGCAGAATGTTCCCACAATGTCCTACTTTGTTCCAGCTTGACAATTAATCCTCCAATTAATCACCCCCCTCAAAAGTGATTGCCACAGCAGTCCTTTTCTTGCGTCTCAACAATCTCACTTCATATGAACTCACTTTTAGAGAGGAAGGACATCATTCTCTCCTGCCCAGGAGAGTGAGAGATTCCTAGAGTCTGATAAGCCCAGTGAGTTCCTGTTAAATGCTTATCGTAAAGGAGTGAATTAGCATTACTGTGACGAGGGCTATTATCTGTGCCTGGTTCTGCTCAGCGTGGTAAAACATGCCTATTCCAGCAGACTAAAGACAAATATTTGGCATATAGACAGGTTTATGGACTATAAAAATTCTAGAAAATTTTAAAACACCATTTGTAAAAATGAACAAATCAATGCTGACTTAAGGGGTGTTAACACTGATACTGATTTTCAGTGACAAAGCAACAAGAAGTCAATCGTTTTCAATGAAAGTTGATTTCTGGCAACATTAGTGACTGCTGGCTGGTAACTGACATATGCAGTTGTTTGAGATTAACTTAATCAGCAAATTATGCAATTAATTTGATTAATTTTAATCGATTAGCACCCTTAATTAAAATGATTCAATTATACTTTTAATTAGGAATGTTATTCAGTTGCTGAATAAATACTGAAAAACATTAAAACGTGTCTTTGTAAAATGCAGGACAGTGCTGCATTTCTTAATAATGCTGCAGCAGATTCTGGGAGGTGAAATGTGTTTCATAAATCATGACGCTAAACCCGCAGCTGGTGGGTCCACACAATGCAACTGGCCTAAAAGTGTCTGAACACAGAAATACATGGAAAGAACACAGAACAGTTTGCTCTAGGAAATCATTCAGGAGTAACTCATTTATGTGACATTCAAAGGCAGACTCCCAGGCAAATTTTTAAAAGTAAAAAAAAAAAAAAACTGCACAAAAAATGTGCAGTTGCCACAGTAACCGGTATGTAAAGTGTCTTCAGCTATGTCATGTGACAGAAACAGTTTCAGATCTTTGCAGAAATGCCATAAATTTATTAGGTATTAATGATACAAAGGTAGTGAAGTCAGAACCCAAAAGAGGGATGTTTTACAGCTCCATGCACTTATTGTACAATATTTCACATTTTTAAACCTAAAAAGTAAAAAACTTGCAAATACTCCTTATCTCAGCTCTTCAGCAAAGTTATTTACCGTATCACATTAAACAAAGCTGACAATCACATCACTAGCAAAACAGTTGGGGATGTCCCTAAGGATTTCACCAAGTCACCATCATATATCAGGCGTACCACGTGCCTCCAAACCACATCCAACTAGTCATGACTTCCTTCTCAATATTAATTGGCATGGAAAATCCACCACTTAAATTGCAAACATATCTAAAACTTGTAAGAAAATAATGTACATTCTTGAAACTAAAAGCTCTGTAAAAGCAGCTTGCTAGACCTTTCCAGGCCCATGGACAGCACCTCATCATTTAAGCTTGATTTCATAACAGCCACTGCAACTACTGTACTTTAAAAGCTCCCAGTCTATTGTAATAATTTAGAGTTTAATGAGAACAGTGCTTCAATTACATCCACGTACGACAACACCAGACACCGAACAGAAGAAACACTGGGGATTATATACACAAGGTAACAAAGGGCTAAGGTGTAGCCAATGAGTAGCCATGATAACAGATGAGGGTAACTATGGAAACTAAAAAGGCACAAAGCAAACAAGAACTAAAGACAGGAAGACAATACTATGAAGAACTGTTAGATCTTTGTAATCAGAGGTGGACAAAGTACACAACTTCTTTAATTGAGTGAAAGTACAGATACTACTGGTCAAATATTACTCTGTTACAAGTAAAAGTACAGAAGTACTCGTTTTAAAAAGTTCTTAAGTATCAAAAATAAAAAGTAAATATCAATGTATTGTTTTATTATTGTTGCATTGTTGTATGTAATACTTACAGTACCGTATGCCTCTGAATCTATGCCTGCCTACCCTCATATCAATATCAAACTGACGTTGGGTTCTGACGTCAACCCGACTTTCATTTCCAACCAAAATCCAACGTCTGTCCAACGTTGGATGTTGACGTCAATCTGAACCCGGGTACTAACGTCAACTCGACTTATATTTCCAACCAAAATGCAACCCCTGCAACCAAAATCATCCCCTGACTGACGTTACTACTTTCTACTCAAGGACCTTGACAGAAATGTAGTGGAGTAAAAAGTACGATATTTGTCTTTCAAATGTAGTGAAGTTAAAGTAAAAAGTTTCCAGAAAAAATAATACTCAAGTAAATGTACTTTGTAATTGTACACCTCTGTTTGTAATGCATCTAATCTGTATAACCAAACTAAGAAGAGATCAAGCAGAGAGGACCAACATCCCTGGTCTCACTCAGATGATCTGGCATCTCAAAATATCCAAAAATACCTACAAAATACCTTCAAAACACATAGCTACTTCTGAATGAATGTCAGTTTAAAAAGAAACTATACAGACGCATAAACAAAGGTACGCAAGCAAACAACATGCATACCAACAAACAAGGGTACACATAAGCAACCAGTAAAAGGTAAACACACACACAAGCACACTATAATAGAGTTTATATTTGTACCTGGAGGAAATGTGAAATCTTGTTAGATTAAGTGCTGTGTCTATTTTACTGCCTGTTTACTGACACAGAGATCAAGGCAACACAATTGACCTTAACCTCAGCACACACTAAACCAATCACAACAAAGATTATTTACACATTAAACGCAATCATGGCAAAAACAAATGAATACTAAACTTATAAAAGCAAAGAGATTCTGCTGCACACAACAAACACAGAACGCAAACTCTTCTCGATCTAAGCTGTGTAAAGCAAAGGACTGTCAGTGCGCAAACTGAATTTATCTGTGTAATTTTAGATTTCTAGATCCAGCAACCTTTTCATAAAGGCTCCCAAAGGGTAAAAACAACCACCATAACCCAGAACTGATGATTCACCAAGCACTTTGGGGC